GATTTTATTTATTTATTTGACAGACACAGCAAGAGAGGGAACCCAAGCAGGGGGGAGTGAGCGAGGGAGAAGCAGGCTTCCTGCTGAGCAGGGAGCAGGGAGCCTGATGCGGGGCTAGATCCCAGGACCCTGGGATCATGACCTGAGCTGAAGGCAGACGCCTAAGGACTAAGCCACCCAGGCACCCCCGTTTCTGGACTTTTTAATGGAAAAAAAATATTGTTAATTCACTAATTTTCAGATTAATAACAAATTTAACAGTCTTTTGGAATGGAAAAGTTGCTAGGAAGTTATTTGAATCTTCTTTTTCATAAGTTTATATATTGTAGGGCCAGTTGCTTTTCTTGGAAGGACTGCTTATTTTTTGACTGGACATTCTGGCTCCTTGAAGCTGTTCAGGTTCTTGGAGATTTTCTTGCTGTTCTTTATTGGAAGAGTGATGCACATCAACCTAGTTACTACCATTAACATCCTCCTCATTGAGACAGATCCTTCCCCACCCATCTTTTTTGTTCTTAGCATTCTCTTCCTCTTTCTCAATTTCTAGCACTTCCATTCCTAGAATGTAAACTTCAGCATCTAATTTTCCATATTTTTGTACTCTTGATTTTATCTAGTCTTAACCCTGGAATTCCTTAATCTGAGGGATTTAGTGTTCGGAAGAACTGAGTCAGAGTTCTGGCAGACATTGTCACTTTCTTAATGTTGTGTGTTTTATACTGGGCCAGGCCTTGAGGAAGTTAAGTCATTAAACTGTTACCTTTTTCATAGAATCTTTTTCATTGATTCCTACTGTCATGATTTCCCCAGAGTTCTTGTCCATAACGAAATGGGTGGCCACAATCATGAGTGACTGAATGATCTCTGGGACTATACCAGGTGATGAGATGTTTGTGTGTTTGTGCACCAAACAGAAGGATCTTACTAATTCTCTTTGGTGCTGCTGTAGAAACCTTTGCACAAAGGGATAGAAGTTAGAAAAAGCTCATAAATTCCCACCAGTCTAGAGATAAGTTTCTAGAGCATCATATTCACTTCAGACATCTCTTTAGAGCTCTTCAGCTGCAGTATTAGTTTTTCTGCAAAATCTTGGAGAATCATGAATCAGATGGATAACTGAGAAGTTAAACACCTTGTTTTTTTTTTTTCTTTTGTTTTTAAGCACTTTCATTGTGTTTGGAGCCTGTTTTCCCTGTGGCATACTGCACTAACATTCTTAGTTGCTGTCCTGTTTCTCTTCTTCATCTTTTCCTAGGGAGAAGGTCAGGGCAGCAACTAATACTTTGGTGACCCCAGAGAAGCGTGAATTGCGGTAACATTGACAGTCATTGGCATCATTTCAGATGTTTCTTTTGAAGAGTTCAGTCATCACTTTCAAAGATATCTTGGCTGCAGTTGCATTGCTGTCTCTTAACATGCACATAAAATTCTGTAATACTTTATTCATTTTATTTTTGTATTTTGCACTTTTATTCTAATCAGTCACAAAATGAGTGTATTGCTTGTATGGCAATGTAGAAGTTCAAAGAAGAGCAATAGCAAACTTGATGGATTGATGAGATTCTTCTCCCAGAGATCAAAGCTTTGCAAAATGTTATTGGA